CTCTTGGTAAAAAAATATTAATGAAAGACTTAAAAATCAAGTTTCTCGAAAATAGTATTTTGTACAAAGAAACTAAACAATTGGAAAGGTCACATGTTGAAGACAGACTTTGCTTCTTTGACTAGGTTGCTTGACCATGAGCAAATTTAAATTTGTTTACAATTTGTTTAAAGAGTTCTTTTTATTGATTTCTACTAATTCTTCATAAGACACAAAGAATTTCTTTGCCATCTATTTTTGCTTCTTCTACATTCAACTTCATTGTAACCAATGCATCCGATGTGAATTTGTGGATCATCTGGAATCATACCAAGTATGGATTTGATGAGATGAGACAATAATATGTTTAATTTTTCATGCATATTAATGACATAATCATAAGCTACTGTTGAACAAAAATTTCAAGGTAGAAACAAATCTTAGCACATTGTTCAACACACTACTTTCATCTTTTCAAAAAAAACATGAACAAATTATGCCCCATTTTTGGGAGGTAAACTCAATTCAAACCAGGAGAGTTTAGCTTGATGCCTTGATCATGATACAAGATGGATGCAAAACTCGATAAAAATTGACAGCTTCGACACGTCTGGCGAGCGATTAAGTGAAGAACAAACAAGACTGGACCAAAATAACTTTAAATCAAAACTTAGTAGTAGAAACACTCTTCAAGTATCGTGTTAAAAACAAAATAGTAAAACTAATACTGTACTACTTACCGGAGTCATGAAATGTTTCCTTTTCTGTCGCTATTTCAGCGTCCGCAAACCACAGAAGTTGGCAATTTAATAAATAAATTTTAAAAAAGTGTTTATGTTAGGAAAATAAAAAGTTTTGATATTTTCTATACTCGCAATTGTGGTGGTCAAATCAGGGTGGGCGACAAAAATTTTATTTCATGAGCCCGCGTCTCTCCGCTGACTTTGACCACCAAAATCCGCCATGTTTTTGACCACGCGGCCGCGCGCTGATAATTTATAGTAATTTTGTTGACGTTTCCCCTCCAGGTCTTATAGAACTCAATGGCAAAATTACAAGGTCTATCAAGGTCGATGCTAACAATAGTAACATGTTAATATAAATAGTAACAAAGGTCAAATGTCAAAGGGCAAGAAGAGTCAGCTTCTGAATGATCGGATTTAATTCTTCACACCAGTTTTATTGTGTAGAATCGCTCCAATAAAAACCTGGCGTGAAAACCGAAAAAAGAAGCTTATTGGCCTGTGACAAGCAATCAAATTCATTGTTTTGTGGTCTCAAGTGGCACGACATGTAAGCGTAATTTTGTATTTGTGGACAACAATGCAAAAACTATATTCTGCTGTTTCTTTTCGCCTTTCAAAGTCAGTTGAGACAACTAAAGACACTACTTCTTTTCAGAAATCAAGTACGGACGCTCAGGAGTATTCTGCCTCTAAAATTTTAGAAAAGACTGCTTTATTTTAGCGGTAATATCGTCGTTAAACTAAAAGGTGACGTTGTTTAACATCCAACGGCGTCAAGTCGAAGTACAAACTGAAAGATTGTATCGACTTGGATTTTACGAGATGGTTAGTAAAACTTAGTATTATTGCAAAATCTGTCATCAGTCACTAACGAAAAGCTGACGAGCAAGCTCATTGAAAATAACTGCACAGTGTCTCACAAATTTCTCCCAACGTCGATCGATACATTGACGAAGAATTACCGGTTACTTATGCCGTATGCGGGAGGTTTTGTCAACAACATCACGACAAAGTAAACTTTCAAGTTAAAATTTTGTTGCTTTTTGTTAAAGGTAGCGTATCTACGTCCATGTAATCTGAAAATAAAGTTATTTAGTTGCATTAGAATGAAGCAAATGCTGATGTTCAATGTGCTATAGGCTTTGTTAAAGTTCGCAAAGATGCTTGCATAGACGGCGGTCAAGCATATGTTGTAGTTGCTTCTCACTGCAACGTACTTTTTTGTCGTGTCAAAATACTGGATACTTTTCTATTAAATTTTATCAACAATATTTGTCTGAATCATTTAATACTTGGGAATATTCATGCTTCATTGAATTCGACTTCATGTTTCATGAAATAACTCGATGTTTGTAATAGTTCAATTTCAAAGACTCGTGAAATAAAACTATTTCATTTTGTATGACAGTAATCAACCTTCAGTTATAATCAGGGGAAATAGTGATTTTTCTTGTATTGTCTGATTGCTATTGATTTGTATTTACAGCAGCCTTCTAAATGGGATGTTTCAAACTTTGATAAATTTTGCCATGGTTTTGAAAGTACCATTTGGCACATTACACTTTAGTTGTACTGAGCATATGTGAGGTTTATGAAGGAAAGTCATGGTGCTATGTAATAGGACGACTGCGTATTAGCAAAAGCCATCTTAACACAAAATTACATAATTGTTTGCACATTTAACATCAACATTTGCTTGTTTCAAATGCACATAAATAACTTTATTTTCATATTTAATGAACGTAGAAACACAGTCTACAACGAAAAGCAACAAACTTTTAGCAAGAAACCTTCCACAACGACAAGCGTAATTTCGTCCAATTTTGTCAGACAAAGTGCTTTAGCCAATGATAGCTTTAGCAATGTTATAATTATTACTGGTACAATTCAAATTAGTAGAGAGCTTTAGCAAGAGTACGACGACAACGAGTACAAAGTTTGACCGTGTAAGGGAATGGCACAAAGAAGTTTGTTGTCGTTGTCGCTTCGTCAAAATTTTGTTTTAGCTATAAACAACAGAACGAGCCTTTTTTATTGTGAAAAACACTGACGTTTGCGAAGCAGCTACGGCTCCATTTGTCAGATATTAAATATCAACCAAATTAATAAAAATTGTGATATTTAAAACTGTCGTTTCGTTGTTTTTAACAATAACTTCGTTTGTCTCTCCCCAATGTAACTGGAATTACATCCAGCACAAGAAAATTCATAAACCACGTTGGATTTTAAAAGAGTGGGAATAGGATCTTTGAAGCTAAAGTGATTTTTGATTTTAAAATGACCACCCGCCACCTTTCCACACGGATTAAAGAACACACAACTACGGACAAAAACTCACACATATTCAGACACTTACTCTCGTCACTACACTGCAAAAACAATTATACACAATCCTGCTTCCGTATCTTAGACACCGCTCACACTCCTTACGCCCTTAAACTCAAAGAAGCCCTTTATATCAAGAAGCGTAAACCTAACCTCAACAAACAAATACAACATCTTAACACTATCTTTGACCTGTAAATAGCTACTCCTACCTTATCATATATTTTTCATTTTCTTTGTAATTTTTTGTAATAAAACCTAACACAAACATTTTATTACACCTCATTCAACTGTAAATAATTATTCATAACTAGTCGATATTTCCGCTTTATCACTACAACTTGTAAGAAGTCATGGGTTCGAATCCCGTTGAGTCACCTGAATTTTTCAGGTTTATGAGACAATTGCTTAAATTGTCCAGCAAAGTGCGAAGATCATATCTTCATTTAATCACTACAACATATTATCATGTAAACTTCCTATATTTATTCATTTCGCACTGAAGATGGCATAAAGCATGCCGAAACATGTTTGCTATAAAGAAATTTGTCGTTTATTTTAAATGTCTTTATAACCATTGTGCTCTTACGAAATAGACCTTTTCAAGGTTATCGCAGCCATATTGCAGGGGGTGCAAAAACATTGGGCCGAGCGCGCGGTCACGCATGGCGTCCATATAAATTACTAATAAATGCGCAAAAATTACCCTTATACATATTGGCCATTTCTTTCAAAAATATTTCTCAAACTCGTCCATTTTAATAGTTGAATTATTATTTGCGATTTTTTATACACGTGAGTCCAACTTTGTGGTAATTAAAAAGCGGAAAGTTAAAGAAAACATTTGTTTTCTTGAACAACTTGACCGTCGTTTGAGCGATGTTCTTGAGTCCGCATCACACGCACATGTCTACAGCAAAGTCAGCAAGTATCACGAGGAACTATTCTACGGCAAACTCTTATTAGTATTTCCAATTATTTGTAAAGTGACATTGCTATTTTTATTATTATGTATGGCGACTTAACAGCCAGAAGAAGAAACAGCCAAGTATTCAAATACACACTTAAAACTGTTAGTCGATGGCAGGCCGGTGTGAAACCTTAAACTCTCGTCAACTGTTCAAATTCCTAAGGGACAGGGAGTAAAGATGCCTCAGATTTTGCTGGATTTCCATCAAAACTTGAATCAGAATACTCGGTGTCATAGGATTGATGAGGACGCTTTGATGTCGTCCATGTTTGTCCTCCTTTACGTTTAAGCGGAGTCCTCGATTGCTCGTACTCTGATAGCGTAATAAAAACCGAAGGATAATCCGTTCCGCGGTTATTTGGGGTTCTTCTTACCAAGGGAAAATAATTTGAGCAAACTAAAGTACCTTGTGCACCAGGCTTTGGGTTAAAGTCATCGGCTCTGCTGTTTGCAATTTGTTTTCGCCAAATTTCAGCAAGTGCTTGATCTTTGGGCCACTAATGAAAAACTGAATTTTTTACGTGAGACCTCTTAACTTAATAATAGGGATAGCGTTTATCATTATCGCAATATCCAACTGCACAACGCGCATTTTTTACCATTTCGGCTATGACTGCTCATGGCTACTCGGCTAGTTTAGGGTTTAGTTCGTTTGACTTGGCTTATGAGATCCGCACATTTGCGAACTGAAGAACATCGCTCAAACGACGGTCAAGTTGTTCAAAAAAAACAAATGTTTTCTTTAACTTTCCGCTTTTTAATTATCACAAAATTGGACTCACGTGTATAAAAAATCGCAAATAATAATTTGACTACTAAAATGGATGAGTTTGATAAATATTTTCGAAAGAAATGGCCAATATGTATAAGGGTAATTTTTGCGCAGTTATTAGTAATTTATATGGACGCCATGCGTGACCGCGCGCTCGGCCCAATGTTTTTGCACCCCCTGCAATATGGCTACGATAACCTTGAAAAGGTCTATTATGGAGAAGGTTATTAATAATGCAACATTAGTTAATTGTCAATTAGTTACATAAGATGTGGACAAACATTACAGGTCCTTGAAAGCTTCCGTTTTTGAAACAGAATGCGTTTTCAAATGGTTTGCATTTTACACTAATTTATCAGTAGTAATTGGTTGTTTATACGATAATAAAGTAAATATTTATTTCTATACTAAGGCCCGTTTCACACGGCACATTTTACATGCGTCTAATGCATTCAAGACAAAAAAAATTTAGATAAATTCCTTGCTATCTTTTGTTTGAAATACATCCGGCTCATGCAAAATGCAACGTTTTAAAAACGGACCTGAAAGTTGGCAACTAATACATTCATATTTACATTTCTTCTTGTGTTGACTGAACATTCAACACAAAATCATCCAGCGCTTCCATCGTATATCCATGTTCTCTTATCAAATCCAAGACATGAGGTAAAAAATCAAATTCTTCAACCAGAGTCTCTTGTATGGAACGACGTCTTCTACAATTTTCTATTTCTGCCGTCTCTTCTCCAATACGATCTTGAACATTTTGTTCACCATTGCTTACGTCACGCTCTCCATGTTCCAAACTTCTGTTGTTGTAGAATTTCTTGCAAAGCTTGCAACCCATGTCTAGGCTGGTATAAAATGAAGATAAAAAGTCTTTATTCACGGAACTTTTCCATGCAAGCCTTAAAATATTCACAATTTTAATTTATAATTATTATACTGGGTGAAATAAAATAATTGTTTAAGATCTGCAATTTTATCTACATTTCTATGTGGTCAGTCTGACGTTCACACTGAAAATGATAATGAACGATGAGTGAACACAAAAAATTTGCATAATCCTTACAGATACTATTTGGAAATGCTTAGGTTGTCTGTAAGATAAAAATCAAATTTTAAACATTATCGATTAACTTTTAATTTCCAAAAGCAAAAAAAAACAGACAAAATTAGTTTAAAATGATCGGAAAACACGATCCAGCAGGAAAAATGCCGAAATGAATGAAACTTGTTTCATACTATCATTTGACGACGCGTTGTTGAAATGGATGGTTCGGATCGTAAGTATAGCAAAATATTTTATTACCTAGTGTAAAATAAAATAGATAAGTCATATCTACCTTTTCTTTTAAAGCCAAGTTAGCCACGTAAAGAAATATACAAGAATCAAGTCAACTAGTCAAGTCTCCAGTTTAACACATTTCCTGGGAAGGCGATGAGTGTGTACATGTATAATGCGTGATGTATTATCTTTAATCGTTTGGTCCTAAGCATTTTCATCAATCCTATTGGTCAAAAAACATGATTGCCACTACGGTAATTATATGCATAATAAGGTATGCGTGGCAAGAAAAAAATTGAATCTGAAATTCAATGAAGTGGCTCCACTGTACATTCTGGGCCACCTACCAACTTCTCGTACCCGTGTCTTATTTTAAACGATAAAAAGAATAAAAGATGACGTCATCTAGAGTATTGTATGTAGGCCAACATGAAGATTCAGTCAGAGTTGGACCTCCAAGTTCAGGTACTTCAATATTAAACGATTTTCCGCACATTCAATCGACTCCATTTTATGCCATATAGAATGCACGTCGAAACGACAGTCGTTTTGCCTGCAAAAGAAAAAATTCACCGAATTGTAAACGCAATGAAACCAAGATTTCATCAACGCGGCGCGATTACCTATTAACACAACTGTTGCAAAAATTGACCATGTTTTCGTCACTATTGACCATTATGATCTTGTGGCGTTGATCACTAAACTAAAATATCGTTTAGTTCTCAATTATTATTTATCAAGTATCATTTAGTGTCATTTAATGGTCAAAATAAAGAACAAAGTATAAAGAACAAGGCATATTATATAAGTAGATAGTGAGTGGACGGGTATTATATAACATAGCATTACGATCTTGTGGTGTTTATCACTAAACTAAAATAATGTTTAGTTCTCAATTATTATTTATCAAGTATCATTAAGTGTCATTTAATGTGTAAAACGTATTTTATTATGATCATTATATATTACAAATATAAATGTTAAAAAACTAAATCAAATATGACTAAAATCAGTGTCATTTAATGGTCAAAATAAAGAACAAAGTATAAAGAACAAGGCATATTATATAAGTAGATAGTGAGTGGACGGGTATTCTATAACATAGCATTATGATCTTGTGGCGTTTATCACTTTGGTAGTTGTGGTTCGTATGGCATAGTAAAAAAAGTGTCAAATATGAATATAATAATGTATAAAAAGTCATAGCCACCTCTAGTACTTAAGGCAAGTTCGTCACAAATAGAAGATTAAGAATCTAGTGAGTATTGCGATAACGCGACTTCCGTATGCGCTCGAAAATCTCGTACACTTGCACTGTTTTGCGAACGTAGCATTTACGTTAAAATAAATAAAGTTGCCTTCAAAAAAAATTAAAAGCATTGTCGTTAACTGATAGAAATATGACTTCTACGTATTTGAAAATTTTCGCAGTAAAAGCAAAAGCAGGGCGCAAACTCAGTAAATTTATCAATATTTTGCACAAACCTTATAAGATCAAGCACAGAAGGTATTGGTTCAACTTTTTCTTCCTTCGGTTCTGGTTCTTTCACGTTAACATTTCCAGGTTAAATGCAAATAAACAAATTACTCCCCAAACATTGTAGTCATAAGATAATACAGCAATGTTCTTCTTCCCAATTTTCCGCTCTGTTTTGACTCCAATTCAGCGACTGCCAAAAGCAAGCTGGATACAATCAAAGGAAGAACCAAAAGTCTTAAAGCTCTCACCCAAATCTCACCTAGAAAGAAAACGTACATTGCATATTCCTTCATGATCTCTTTTTCAACCAACTCATTCGACATGTAAAGAAAGCTCACAATATCGTACATATCAGTTTTAGCGAAAGAACTTCGCTCAGGTCTTTTTTGGAGCATAGTGCAGTAGACGTCTCTCATTATTGATTTTGATAAACAAGGAGCCATACTAAAGAACATGATAGAAACTCTTACAAAAATAACATAGAAAAAATGAATAACATTAATTAGAAACCTTTCAAATATTTAAAGCGAGAAGTCGATACGTTCACAATGGCTACATAGGTAAACGTTTATTTATTTGCATTAAAATTCCTTCAAAGCTTATGAAGAAATCGCAATACGAAGGTTTCACGACATTGAACCTAGCGGAAAAGTATATATCTTTAGTGTTGTGTATATTTTGGTACAAACATGAAATTTCCGTTGTGGGAAAGGTTATTTTGCGTAACTTTGCCTCATGTATTTGAAATTTTTGTTGGATAGTTTTTCATCCAACGAATAAGTAAATTTGATCGTGACTTACGATAAGCATTTCAACTATTGCAAAAAACTTCAAAATATCAAAAGGAAAAGTTAAATCAAATGTAACATGCTCCAATGCACCACAGCTAAGAGGAAGTGATGAACACTTGTGCTATGTGGCTACATCATTTATAATCAAATACCAAAGAAAGAATTAATTATTTTCAAAAAATTCAGAATGTATTAAAAAACAAGCTACAAAGTAATTTTGATCCATAATAATGACTTTGAAAGTTTCAACAAGATAATTTTACACTAAATTATTTGCACTCGGGAACTCTATATGCCTTTGTGCGCATTAGATTTGTTACAATCAAGGCAAAAGAGCCAATACATACTTCAAAATTTACCACACAATTGTCACTTAAGCGTGACTTAAATATTATAAAACATGTTTTGATGTTTAAAGTGTTCAGGAAATTGACGCCTCCTGGTTATAACTGGTTGAATTATTTTCACGTTCATAATAAGTACATAGATGTTAGGTCGTCAACGTTTTGATACCAGGATACGGCGCATAAAACCGTTCAAAAAATTAGATATTTGAAGCTATTGACGACAGCCTAGTACAATTTTCTTTGTACGATAAAAACTGTCAAAATTATACCCAAATGCGTTGAACATAGTTGCAATTACAAATACATTTTTCATTTGTTTCGCTTTCACTATGGAAATGACGACGAATATTGTTGTCTGAATTCATCAAAATTTACAAAACTCCATTCTAACGTTAACTAAGAATGTTTACTTACTTTTGCAGAAGGATAACTGCTGGTATTTGGCAATTTTTATATATCTACGAACTGAGGAGCTTCGATGGACGGCGTTCTATCCAGAAAGAAATGACTAGAATCGCGTCTCTGTGTCGGTACCAGACCTCTGACGTAGTTTTTCCCGCTAATTCCGATAATTACCATCGACCACGAGCCAAAGATTTGCCGTGATTCCTAGAGTACCCCATCAAGTCAAATAAAAATGTTAGTTGGACAATAAAATATAATAATGACCTCTTTCCTGAATAAGTTTAAATAATTTTAAGATTTTTACATTTCTGATCTCTATGAAGGCCTATTTCTGTTAAAACTGATAATTTTATGTCAACAGACACAATAGAAAAACAGTTGTCCAATTATATGTAATACATATTAAAGAGCATTTCATATAACCAATCAAAAACCATAAAACATTTTGTATGAAACATATTTAGCTCCTAAGTTAAACATAAAGTACTACTCGAATAAGAACATGACAAACTCTGCTTGTTTTATTTTTTTCTCTGAAGCTGCAAAAAACAGCAGCTCATTAAACATACGTCAGTTGTATGATTTCAAATCTTTGATACATCATACAGGTGTGTAAAATGTCAAATGGACTCAAGTGATGTCCTTCTGATAATAGTTACACAGTCAGAGAAAGCAAAAATGAGACAGTCATTGTGTAAATGGTGTGAACATGTGCTTTGTTATTTTATTTTGTTTTGGAGACACATAACTTTTCTTCAATATGCAAAAAACATCTTTATGATATCACAATGCATAAGTAGCTTTAGGAAAAATTAATTTTTGTGGACAGTTAATATAAATTATTGCCAATGTCACAGGGTCCTAATATTATTGATTTCAATGCATTGGGATGGTGTCATTGTAATTTTCAAATAAACGACTAATGATTGAATATGTCCGTCTTAATACAGCATGGGGTACTTAGGGAAATGGTAACAGGATGATATGAGGACAGTAGAGGTATCAGGGGGATGTCATTTTAGTGATACAAAATACTTTTCATAGAAATATAAACCAAATACTTACAGCTTGTTGTAAAACATTTGTTCCTTTCGTGTTCATAATGACTTCTTCAATGGCTTTGATAGATGTTTCCAAAGCTTTCAAACCTTCTTCTCGATTCATTGTTGTTGACGTGACAACATAAGTTGGTGGTGAAATGGGATTTATCTTAAAGAAAACAGTTTACAATCAAACAGTGAAATTTTCAAGGATTATTCATCATTGTATGTTATTTAGGCCTGGTGCAGGTATTGTAAAATATAATTACATTGCTGTGCACATTTGGAACATTTATAAATAATTAAATTTTGTTTTCATGGACATCAAAATGTTCATCTTCATTGTGTTTATGTAGCAATATTGCAATTTGATGCATTTCAATGAGAATGATCTGTCATATACAGTGGTGTAAAACAAAGCTTCATGCTTTTCTTGGTTCTTAAGGTTCATTTTCCTTGACAACTCATTTATTGACAGTTGTCTTGTTGTATACAATGTTCAGTAGTATATATAATAATCATTCTACAATTGAAATCTTGACATAAACATATTTAAAAGTTAAAATGACATGATGAATATGAGGTATAGCTCTATTGGTTAAGAACAGTTCATGTACGACGTCAAATGATGTTAATTTTGATTCATAATGGTTTCAAAAAAGCTTGGCTGACTGAATTGAATTTAATTGTATTGAATTTAAAAACTTGAACATCAAGTTTTTAAATCTCATATCTACCAACACCTTCTTATATCTCACTCATGTAAAACCAACTATTCCCCCTCTAGCTTCAAAATCATCGACACTGCCGACATATGGCGCGCCAAGATGGACAATATTACCAAAATCGAAAATTTTTTTAACGAAACACATTATCGTATGTCGAAAATAATATACTGGCAACTCTTTCAATATTTGTAAAACGAAACGCAAAATATAAAAGAAAACAAAATTCGTTTACCATAATTTATATACCTTTCTTACGCGCTGCGTAAGAAAGGTGTGAGAATATGGTTCGGGCAGTTATGGAGACTTATGAAGGTGTAGAGGCGGTGGTTACGGAGGAAGGTGCTAGATCTGGTGTTTTTGAGGTAAAAGTTGGTGTTCATCAAGGTTCAGTCTTGTCGCCGTTACTGTTTGCTTGTGTGATGGATGTACTGACAGAGGAAGTGAGAAGAAAAGAAGGATGCTGGTGTTTGTTGTATGCAGATGACATTGTCTTGGTGGCGGAGTCGAAGCAGAAAGTTCTGGAATGGTACCGAGAATGGAAAACGGCAATAGAAGTCAAGGGACTGAAAGTGAATGAGGCAAAGACGAAGGGCATGAGATGCTCGAGGCAGGTGGAGGTGAAGGACAGTGATAAATGGCCATGTGTGTGTGGGAAAAGAGTTGGAGTGAATTCGATAATGTGGGAAATGCGGTAAGTGGGTTCATGGAAGATGTTCAGGTGTCCGTGGTGCATTGACAAGAGTAACTGATTTTGAGTGCGGGACGTGTCGAAGTGGTGGGCGAGTCGCAATTGAACGGTTTGAACTGGGTGACGTGAGTTTGGAAGGTGTATCGGAGTTTAAATATCTGGGCGATGTGTTAAATGATGGTGGAGGGTGCGAGCAAGCGGTGAGGAACAGAGTTCAAGCAGCGTGGTGGAGTTTTAGAGTTGTCGGGAATGTTGTGCGGAAAGTCGACTTCGTTGAAGCAGAAGGGAGAATTGTATAAGGCATGTGTTAGAAGTGTTTTGGGATATGGAGCAGAGTGTTGGGCGCCGAAAGCAGAGGACCTGAGAAGATTGGCGTCGACGGAAAGGGAATGCTTAGCATGATGTGTGGTGTAACGTTGATGGATAGGATTCGAAGTGAAGAGATTAGAAAGAGTTGGTGTTGAGTGTATCGAGAATTGGGTAAGACGCCAGCGTTTGAGGTGGTTTGGGCATGTGGAAAGGAGGGAAGAAAGTGCTGAAATTCGTAGAACGTTGCATATGAATGTTGATGGAGTCCGCAAACGAGGTAGACCGAGAAAGAGATGGATGGATGTTGTGAACAGTGATATGAAGGCGATGGGTATAACGAGAGATATGGCGAGAGATAGAGATGTGTGGCGTGGAAAAATTCATGGACTGGTCAACCCCCCTGGCGGGGATTAATACTGGCCGGTATATAAATGTTGTTTGTTGTTGTGTTTGTATAATTTATATATACACAACGAAATTTATTTTTCAAGTTATGAAAATTATTTTCATAAAACGAAACTCATTTATATAAAACGAAATTGACATTCATAAAACGACATTTTCTTCGAACAAGCGACATTTTTTACCTCGCCCTCCCACTGACATCAAAGAAAAACGGCGTTTTGACTTTTTTCCTCCTCCATTATTTACACTTGGGTTGAACAATGGAGACGTGTGGTGCATTGAAGTATTAGCTGCTGTAGTCGCTGCTCCTCCGACTGTTGTGGTTGTGGATGAACGACCATTTGCAGAAGGGAAAAGAGTGCGTATCGTACTTTCAATATTGCTAACGTTAGCATCGTTATCTCCTTCAAAAGTTCTTTCACAATTGTTGGAGCAATCACTTTCAGAGAGCTGAGTGATTGCTGCAACAAGGTTTGTCAAGTTATGTAAGTTCCTTCGCGAAGACATAATCAAAATTTTGTAGTGGATGGCTCTTTGCAGGCTACAAAATAATGGCCGCAAAAAAGCGGTAAAAAATGTCGTTTGTTCGAAGAAAATGTCGTTTTATGAATGTCAATTTCGTTTTATATAAATGAGTTTCGTTTTATAAAAATAATTTTCATAACTTGAAAAATAAATTTTGTTGTGTATATATAAATTATGGTAAACGAATTTTGTTTTCTTTTATATTTTTGCGTTTCGTTTTACAAATATTGAAAAAGTTGCCAGTATATTATTTTCGACATACGATAATGTGTTTCGTTATAAATATTTTCGATTTTGGTAATATTGTCCATCTTGGCGCGCCATAAAAACATCCTTATGATATCACAATGCATAATTAGCTTTAGGAAAAACTAATTTTTGTGGACAGTTAACATAAATTATTGCCAATGTCACAGGGTCCTAATATTATTGATTTTAATGCATTGGGATGGTGTCATTGTAATTTTCAAATAAACAACTAATGATTGAATATGTCCGTCTTAATACAGCATGGGGTACTTAGGGAAATGGTAACAGGATGATATGAGGATAGTAGAGGCACCATGGGGATGTCATTTTAGTGATACAATATACTTTTTATATAAATATAAACCAAACACTTACAGCTTGTTGTAAAACAAATGTTCCTTTCTTGTTCATAATGACTTCTTCAATGGCTTTGATAGATGTTTTCAAAGCTTTCAAACCTTCTTCTTGATTCATTGTTGTCGTCGTGACAACATAGGTTGGTGGTGAAATGGGATTTATCTTAAAGAAGAAAACAGTTTACAATCAAACAGTGAAATTTTGAAAAGATTTTTTATCATTGTATGCTATTTAGGCCTGGCACAGCTATTGTAAGATATAATTACATTGCTGTGCACATTTGGAACATCTATAAATAATTAAATCTTGTTTTCGTGAACATCAAAATGTCCATCCTCATTGTGTTTATGTAGCAATATTGCAATTTGATGCATTTCAATGAGAATGATTTGTCATATACAGTGGTGTAAAACAAAGCTTCATGTTATTCTTGGTTCTTAAGGTTTGTTTTCCTTGACAACTCATTTATTGACAGTTGTCTTGTTGTACACAATGTTCAGTAGTATATATAATAATCATTTTACAATTGAAATCTTGACATAAACATATTTAAAAGTTAAAATGACATGATGAATATGAGGTATAGCTCTATTGGTTAAGAACAGTTTATGTACGACATCAGATGATGTTAATGTTGATTCATATGGTTTCAAAAAAGCTTGGCTGACTGATAATTATGCTAATAAACACATAACCAAGGCTGTCACATGTTACAATCGTAAACAAAATCTCAGCAAACTTTTGGCATAAATATAAAGCAGTTTTAAAATTCAAAAGAAGTAAAGATCTTTTTATAAAATCTAACGATGATCAATGATTTCAGTACAATAGAACTTACCTAAATGAAGTCATAATATTAAACGTCGCTCGATTTTGAAATAGAAATACAAACAATTCGTTATGTTGATGATGGCACAAAATATGTACAAAGATATAACGCAGATTGTTTAATCAGTTGCATTTTTCATTGAAAACTTTTCAAGAACCTCAAACGATAATACTTTAAATACAGACGAACAAGTTTACAGTTTGAGTTTTCATGACTGACTTTACCGATTCTCGGAAACATCCGGTGGAAAAAAACTATCGGTATTCGCCGATTATTATTCGATGTCTGTCGTGAAAATGGTTTGTGACGTATTCAGTGACGTATTCAATTTTCCAAGCTCTCGCGATGTTCCGATCTTTATTCTCGTCCGTATTTGATTCAAGTAAACACTGGATTTAAGGAATTTGAAAATTTGAAAATTTCCTTTTTCACAAATAGAAAATACAACATTGAAAAATACATTTGTTCTAATTAGTTAATATAGAGTCCTTAAGTGGTGACGTCACGTTTCCATGGTGCTAAAAATCTCAGTTCCAAACAAACGCCCATTCGATTCAAAATGGAGACATTATCCATCGCTTCGCTTTTTTCTTTCTTCTCAAAAGAAAAGAAATCTATAAAAAAGGGGGAAAACCACTTAAGTCAGATCACATTGAAGCATTTACTTACCAGCAGAGTGTTTTATGAGGAGAAGTACACGCAAGAATGAAACAAAAGGTTTATAAAGTGACGGTGAATGCCAAATGTCAAGATTAAGTTTTACACTGTTTTTGTTGCCTAAATGAGCACGAGGGCGAGATTTTCTCTTGTAGTGAAATAAAAAAGGCTTTTTAATGAACGATTTGTTTTAAAAAATAATGATACTCGTCGGTTTTCAGTCCTCAAATTGACCTACCATTACTAGTTTGGTGTGAGGGAGTTGTGGTAACAGGCTATACATATATTTGCCTTTTTATTAATAAACACAAGGATAACATGGTATTTAAAAGACATGGAAAAATGGTACATCATTTAATGTTGTTTTCCTGGGGGGGGAGGGAAATTCCCATATAAAAGTGATGAGATGCTCATGGGAAATGTTCAGAAAGACTCCTTTAGGGTAACTGTGGGCAGTACTTGCTTTTATTTTTATCCCTAAAAAGACATCCATTGTAAAACATATGTCAAAACTTCTTTTAACTTCTGTTCTCCTAAACATGATAAAAGAATTCTTGCAGTGATCTTATTTGACACCCTATGTACACCCAGGCTGTACCAGATGATAAATATTGTAATCCCTAGGAGGTAAAATCATCCCTTTACTGTTATATTAGAATGCTCCACCTCCCCACACCCCTCTAGCTGTATTTTCTTCTAAGTAAGCCTCAGTCTACAAATTATTTTATTTCTATTTGAACAACAATAATTATTAAAAAACTGTCCAATGTAGTCTTCAAGCATAAAACTACTCAAAAACCATATCTTCGCATTCCTCTTTGATGAGAGGAAATTGCAAATTTACAAGTGTTGCACATAACTGAAACAAAATGTCAGCATAGCAGTGCAAATACAAAGGATGCCTAAAATTTTGAAGTCTTTCAGACTAGCATTGGCTCTTTCGACATGACTCCGTGCTTTAGCTATGGCTTTTGTTTTCTTGACCTCACTCTCTGTGAAAGTTCCATTATTCAGAAAAGGTGGAATATTGACACAGACAGCATGTGGTACAACATCCTGGATAAGGAAACCCTTGTCCGCCAGAATCATATCTCCAGCTGTCAAGTGATTAAGGAGTCCAGACTGTTGCACAATGGCCTTGTCTCAAATAGAACCTGGATACAGCCGACTGACATTAGTAATGACTCCATTTGGTGCAACACCAACTATTACCTTAAAGGAATTCATTCCTCTGTATGATAAATAGGTTGCATTTTGCTGACTCATCAATCCCAGTGCAGCAACCTCAATATCTGTGCAGTCTATAACAATCTGACAGGATTCAAATTGCCTGAAAGAGGAGGTTGCTGAGATCTTGTCTTTTTCCTGGGATGGAATAGACGTCATTAGGTCATCAAACAAAATTTCATGCAAAACATGAGTGAATGCTATAACAATGAAACAATTGGGCTTGGTGAAGCTGTGTGTAGTTCTGTCGTACTTTCATTAAAGTGATAAAAATTTGATTCTCAAAATTGATGGATTATACCTTCCAAAACACTCAGATTTAAGGTTTTGGCTACGGAAAATACAAAGCGACCGTTAAAAAGACAACTAGCTGAAGCTTCTATAATTCAGTATTCGATGATTCTCCCTCATGTCCTGATGTCAACTCTTCACCTGAATAGAGTCCGTAAATCTCACTTAAAATCACGTAATTCATCGAATTCTCACCGATTAAGGAATTCTTTTTGAATATCAGTTCATACCTTATGAGTCGAATCCATCTCTTGTACTCGTCGTTCAGCATTGTAGCGCTTGGAAAAGCAAAGAACTTGCAAGTGTTGCCCTCCGACGAACGGCCACATGTAGGAGCAAAACAGTAAACCATTTTGCCCGTTTGACCCGCGTCCTTTACACTTCTTCAACAAAGTTGATCCTTTGGATGACCCTTTAACCTTTCCTGTTTTTTTTATTGTCTTTTGTGGGATTACACTGGATAATTAAAGCTTTATACATTCAGAACAAAGGAAGCATGTCCAAAGCGCTCGCTTAAGATATTTTGTTTAGAACTGCATTTTTTAGCGCCATGGTAACGTGACGTCACACTTAAGGACTCTATAACGCACGAACTAAAAATCCAGAAAGTACGCCGAATAAAATGCACAATACACTTCAACTTCAGCCAATGATAAGCTTAACTCTAGATCACGTGAGATCAAGTTGGGGAATTGTCGTTATCCTGCGAATGTAAGTTTTCGGCAAATAGTGAAAAAGATTCTTTATCAAAATTAGCACATACACAAATTTATACGTTTTACAGACGTAATAGAGTCCATTCTATCTAAATAGTTATTTTAACAAATTTTAACTCCATAGTTTGTGCATTTCTACATTTCTACATTTCTACATTTCTACATTTCTACATTTCTACATTTCTAAAAATAAAATATTTCTACGTATAAAGTCAAACTTACAGTTCGTCAGGAATTGATGGTAGATTTAAATCATATATTTCAACACTAAAGTCCAAATATAAAACCTCGAGCAAGATATTAAAAAGTTCAGCATAACTGTCAACGTTTGATTCCATCCCTACTTGATCTTCAACAAGATTCTCCTGCAGAACGTTTTCTTCGCGGGAATTGTTTTCGTCTTGTTGCTCATGCTCCAGTCCTTCGTGATGTTCGTCTTCATTTCTATTCTCATCTTCTTTTGATTGAAAATTGGAATTTTTATCGTTTTGTTCATATCTTTATTTTTATATGCTAATGTGACTCGCAAACTTTACCAACAAATGCTGCTTTCGATGAGGAGGTGCTCCGTCACAAGCCAGCTACCACTTACTTTGGTGTAATCCAAAGGACGTCCTTATACATCACTGCCTTGCAGAAACTCAGAGACTCAGCAAAACTGTTTACGTAACCAGTCACGTTCATCCAGTCGAATGCCAATTGCAGAAAGACCAGAAAGCCGGACATGGCAAAATGCCGAAATTGGGAAAGCAAAGCCCCCTGCGAAGCTTTTTTAGTAGTGATGTGTGATGTAGGTGTGATGTTGTGATGTGCGTGTACAACAAAAACAGTCCTTCTCAGGACTATACCAACCTGGACGATCTACATCTACAAACATGTAACGATACTCCCGCGTTCAAACCATTTACTTTAACCAGTAAATGGTTTGTGAACTTGGCAATATTTAGGTGTACATCAATCTATGACGACGAAAGTCGCCAATTCTTTCAACATTCGCTAACCTTTGTGTCGAATCACTCGAATGTATTTGGATTTATCTTACTTGAAATTTATTTCTATAAATCTGTTTCTATCAATGCATTCACAATTTCAAACTTGTCAGATTTTTCATTATACCGCACTAAAGATGGCATAAGTTTGCCGAAAAATGTCTGCAATAAAAAACTTAAAAAAAGTTGTCATTTATGTTAAATGCGTCATTTCAATCGTGCCATTACGAAATTAGGGAAATTAGAAAATTATGTTAAAATGTTGAATTTGTTTGTTAAGATCTGGTTTTTGTTTGCGTGTGTCTAAGGCTTCTTTGAGTTTTAGAGAAAATTGAGTGTAATATTCAAATTTGTCTCTATCACACTCATGATATTTGCCGTGTAAATATCACTAATATTTCATCAAACCTTCTCCTTTTACTGATTAACACGTATCAAGCATCCTATGATAAATTCAGCATTTTAAATAACTTTACTTTATTCTTCATTTCAATCGTGCCATTACAAAATTATGGAAATATTCATATAGTTGTAAATATAGGAGAAGCCCCTGATCCATGATACAAAAAATTGCGCATGAAAAATTCGATGTTTGAAAATTTAAAAAGTTGAATGATTCTGAAAAGAGTTTATGTAATTTAATTTTTGTTCATTATTATTTTATTTACTTAAATCGAAATCAAACTAACGTGATTGAACAGTTAAGGCTGAAACACACTAGGCAATCGCTTTAGTCGCGCGTCTGAAGGCTGAATGAAACACACTAGGCAATCGCTTTACTCGCGCGTCTGAAGGCTGAATGAAACACACTACAATAAAATTTACAACTTCCTGATTCCGACGATTCCGTTCTTTTCGCCAAAAGTAACAAAACACAAGTTTTTATGTCGACGTCACCGAAATACACGACGTTCTATAATTCATTAAATAAAAAATCCTTCAGATAAACTTGTATATGCCAGTATTCTGTTGTAGAACCAAAAGTGAAATGAACATATGATCTTTGCACTTTGCTGGACAATTTAAGTAAGTGTCACATGAAAGAATTCGTGAAACGAATGTCATATGAAAGAATTCTTTCATATGACATGAAAGGAATGTTTGCTTTGTCTGACTGGGTAACTATTATCTGAAGGACATCACTTGAGTCTATTGGACATATTTGAAAGGAATGTCATATGAAAGAATTCTTTCATATGACACTCCTTTCACGAGAAAACATGAGCCCAACAAAATTGAATTCTTTCATATGACATTCCTTTCACGAGAAAACATGAGCCCAACAAATTGACCTGCTCTCCTCTGTGTGACTTCATAGCTCAGTTGGTCAGAGCACTGCACCGGTACCGCAGAGGTCATGGGTTCAAATCCCGTTGAGTCACCTGATTTTTTCAGGTTCATGAGACAATTGCTTAAATTGTCCAGCAAAGTACGAAGATCATATCTTCATTTAATATCAAACACCGCACTGTATAAAACATTCTTTCATAGAACCAAAAGTGGTAAAATATTATCATAGTTGTTTCACGTACGTTGGATAAGCAATGTCACCTTACGAGAGCAATTTCTCTCCCCCCCTCTATGACGGGTGATCACCGCCAAAATTAAAACATGGCATTCGGCAATGCGAACATGACATTCGGCAATGCGAACATGAGCCATATGAACACAAGGTGATTATGTACAGCAGATATGCGTAACATGAGTAATGCGAACACAAAGTTCTTTGTGTCAGCTGTGATGGAGAAAGAACGATAAGATGATACTTCATGTCCTGATTAAGAATAAAAATAAGTTGACGATAAAAATTGGAAACTTGGCTTCAAACACTATTGTAATACTTATTTTTCAGATTTTCTGGTTGTTTTAGTGTCATTTAATTGCTCTAATTTTGTTGAATTTGACATTTTTGAAAATTTATTTGGCAATGGACATCCGCAATGCCTGCCCACCCGGATGAATATATTAATACAAATAGTTATAATTGGAAACTCGAAATCATTTTTATGAAATGGTAAGTTTGTATTTGTTAAATTAACATTTAAAAATAATACAATTGATTAATACCATATTTATGTAATGTTTCATCTTTTACAGTGTTTTGTTCGGACTAAAATTTTATGTTTCTATTGAACAGGAAGATACTAGAAAGATAGTCATTAATCATTTACAACTGTCTATGCGGAAAATTGAGCACATCTTAGAAAACAATTCTGAAGAGCTCCCGGACTATGATTGCTTATCGTTTAGAGTTGATCATCTTCGACATGTTTTAATTTGTTCTGATACAATAAGTATACCTGCTCAAGTTCATCAGTACTTAAAGGACATTGGCAACGAAAATTTTTTTTTCATAAGTTTATCATAGATAGCTATGGAATACTTAATTTCGTGTTTTCGTGTCTCTTTTGAATTTTGCTGTTGAGAAAATTTGACATAAAGTTGAATCCTTATCCGCCATTTTGAAAAAAAACCTTATGCTAAATTATGCCGGAATACATTACTGACGTCATTGGCTGGTATCCACTGAATGACACAATATAAAATAATAGTATTATAATAATATATAGCACATTTGTTCACTGGAATTTTAAAACAAAAACAACAGTCGGCGGTTGTTAAGATTAACAAAAGTTGTGTAGTTTATCACGCTTATATACTTTTCCAATATTTAGTCGTTATAAGACGTAGAAACGTTTATTTTAGCAGATCTTACAACTAGGTTTTGCCGACATACCAAGTGTAAGCCCGGACAACAACAAGCGCGTTATATACACTGAACATTTCGTGCAATAGAAATATTTCATTTTCCCATAATACAAACCTGTGACCAACAAATGAGTTATACGTTTAATTTATTATTTGTATACATAAGAGTCTTTGAAAGATTATGTAGTTTTATATAGGTGATAAGCTCTAAGCCGCTATGTTTTGTTCTTGACTGTAGAGTTTCGTTTATCCGTAATGTTTTACGTGCGTGTTTGCGTGCACAATGTACAAGTAAACTTTTCGATTAACTTTATAACTTATGAATGAATGCAAGTTTTGGGTGGATCACTCATGCATTTTGCTTTTGCGCAGTTCGTGACAATCCTTTGACAATGATATGGCATCGCAATTGCAGATCATAACAAAGAACATCAAAGAGCGTCTGTCTAAGACTAAATTTACGGTCTTTCGTGATAACATGCGTATTTAAAATGTGTATAAAGTCCGTCTGGTGACGCGAAGCGTTTTCGTATGCTAGCATAAACACAAGCAGGAAATGGTCTTCGATGTTTCTTCCCCAAAATTTCAAAAATCTACCTAGAACATCTTTGATAGGCAACTAATCGATACAGCTTGTGTATTCTCTCTAGATCCTCATCAGACAGGGGCCAGTTTTCTTCAACATGCCGACACACGTCTATCTTTAACACACTTTCTGAGAGCATATTGTCCCTAAATTCTTGGTGTGTTGTCAAGCAATTTACTCCTTGAGTTTCTGTTTGGCCTAGCAAAGCCTCATACTCATCGTATTCAAGCGCTTTTTCGTGGCAACAAAAACACTCGATTGCCTTTTTTGACAAAGTACAATGTTCACATTTACACCAACTAAGAGTTTGAAGGCGCTAAGCATTTGCTTTCTCAAATTCAGCATGTATTTCATCCTCCGACGAGGACAAGTCGCTCTGCTCACTCTCCTGTTCGGAACCACTTTCTTCACTAGTTTTGGCCTTCACTTCAGGTTCATATTGATAGGGCAGAACCTCACCCGGTTGATTTTCGTGTATGTCATCCATTGCAGCAAAAAATCCCGTAAAATACGCTTTAAATGTGTTGTAACGCAGTCAATCACAAAGTATATTGTATTGTTGTTTTGACTGCTCACCAGCCAATGACGTCACTACCGCTCTAGATAATTTTATCAAAATTTTATCCAAGATGGCGCAATTTATAAAACTTTTGCTGCAAATATCTCAGCAACAAAATATTTTTGATAAAAAATTTTTCTATTTTAGTTGTTAGACATCACAAAGGTTCAAAAATATGCCATAAAAATTTTCGTTGCCAATGTCCTTTAATTTGTCGAATTTAATTGTTTATAGAAGGCCTTTGGTTGCTTTAGGTCCTGAAGTGATAATTATTGAATGCATGTAATACATTCATAGTGATTTACACACATCATATGACTTCTTGTTAAGTTGTTGAAAGTTTATTCAGTGTTTAATCATATGTTCAAAAATGGCGAAAACAAAACACCAAATCAGAACGGAAACTAGCTGAAGAATTTTTTTGATTCGTAGCATGTTTGAGCGAGCAAAGAGTCGGAGGAAAATGGCAGAGTCAACACAGACTGTCCTTTGCCGCAGATGTGTTTGACTGAAATGAACGCTAAATGGCGCCAATTATCACTAAACACGTGATGTGTAAAACTCGCCCTAGTTTTCTCGGCCAAAATGTATTAAGTTCGGCACATGATAAGTTCGACGTTTGAACCGGATCGAACTTTCTTACTTATTTACTTCCGTGACTGATAACTTATTGAGTTATTGTGCGCATGATCAGCAGAGGCACCAGCGCGCTAATTTCGTCGTGCTGTGTAAATTTAAGACCATTATCATTATTCATTTCTTTAGAAATCTATTGTCTTTACAGTTAGTGAAAATATTGCATTGCACGACAAAGTGCATTAGGGGATCGGGCTACGCTACCCATCATTAGCAACTGGTCACAACGAACAAAATGGAAGTCATCTCGTTTGTTATAAACAAATAGGTAAATTAAGGCACTGGGGAGGTTTTTCTTCATTTCGGAGGCAGCACTTTTCACACAATTTAATTTACTATAAATTTAGGGGTCGCACGACCCTTTGGTACGTATAAACTGATACTGTTCATGATGTCGTTTGTAATATGCAAATGTTATAACAAAATGGAATCGCATCTTCATAATCTTCATTTCGGAGGCAGCACTTTTTACACAATTAAACTTACTATAAATTTAGGGTCGCACGACGCTTTTACTACGGGTTATTTACCAGATAGTTTGTGAAAATTCATTAAATGTTTCAATACTTTTTTAGCAGAAAAAATCTCGAGGTGTATGGGTACATCGTATGAAAATTAATTTAAAACTTTTGCACAACAGCAAATAGAGCATCGAGCCTCGTCATTTAAGGCCCGACAGCTACATTCGATTGAAATTTATTTTCAACATGAGTAAAATAAAATATATAAGCTTTCCTACCTCTCACAGCAGCCTCTCTTCTGAAGTATAAATCTGACAACATGAAGATGCGATGGTTTAGTTTAATCCATTTACGTCAAAGAATGGTGGGCGTCAATGTACATAATTATGATCAGAATCAGAATTTTCATTGGGTGGTGAAATCAAAGTTTTGATTGGTTCTTGTAAATGTTTATAAACTGCGTCGAGCTCATGACGTCGTCAGATATCACTTTCACTTTGACTTTCGTGATGGAAACATCTCCCAACCAAGAGTCAAAACAAGCTCTGAACAGAAGCAGGATGAAGTACATCAGATGAACACGAAACAACACTGTTTCATAAAACTAGTAATGTTTATTTTTATTAAAGAATGTTTTATGCAGTGCGGTGTTTGAAATTAAATGAAGATATGATCGCAAGATATGATAAGATATGATGTATCTTCGCACTTTGCTGGACAATTTAAGCAATTGTCTCATGAACCTGAAAAATTCAGGTGACTCAACGGGATCCATGACCTCTGCGGTGCCGGTGCAGTTCTCTGACCAACTGAGCTACTGAGCTACTGAGCAACTGAGCAACTGAGCACTGCACCGGCACCGCAGAGGTCATGGATCCTGGATCACCAAGTCCAGCAAAGTGCGAAGATCATATCTTCATTTAATTTCATTTAATTTAGTTTATTTTTATTGTTGCTTTGTCCATTTGCAATGTCGATAAAATCATAAATGTTCTATCGTTTTGTGAACTTTTGTAATTTTACAGTGAACATCTTAATACACTTCCGCGTGTGAAATTTCAAATATTCTCAGTTTCATTTGATGATATATAAAGTTAGAAAGTAGCTATAGAAATTTTCAACGAACTTCACTGACTGTATAAGTTCTGATACACAACAAAGGTGAACGTCTAGATTAAGTCAAGATGAAATTTAACTTCCATTTCAACGACTACACATTTACAATAGTTTCGCGAAGGTTCAATTCATCTCAAGTTAAATATTTGAGGCTGTATTTTAACCATAATGGACCTTAAATAAATCTTCTCTCGAAATACTGACCATGAAACATTTATTTCTAATAGTCACATGAAAGATTGATATCTGTGTTGGGTTTGAAAATAATTGAAGTTTAACTAAATGCTATTCAAGGCAACCGCAGGGTCGTGTAAGATAAAATAAAACACAGTAACTTTTAAAACAAACCACAATCATTTATGCTTCACCTTGTTATTCTTCATCATCAGGATTATCATCATCACCATCAACTTCTGCATTTTGACGTTCAAGTTTTTCCATTTCCTTGGCAAAGTATGCTTCATCCATATCTGTGACAACCTTTGGCTAAACAGATAACAATGATAATCAATGATAGAAATTTATAGCTTAAATTTATCATTTGAAATCAACAAATTTCTTGTATAAATGCAAATGCATGGCAATAGGATTTACAAGTACATTTCAACCCCTAATCTTGATTGGCATGTATCTGACATAATGAGAAGAACTGACAAAATAAACACAAAAGTGGTTTGCTAAGCTCTTGTTTTGTAATGATCAAGGTTAAAAATCTGTGGGTAAAGTGAAGGTTTGAGTCAACAATTGACTTGTAATGTGCCAATTCATCGCACACTAATCGACAAAGCATACAAACTTAACAATACAAACAATGGCTTTTAAGGGGACATAAAAAAAAACATCACATCCACTCTTTTACGAAACTCTTTCCCACTACACTTTATTAACAGAACCGTAAAACGATATCACGACAACAAACATAGCAACAACCTCAAACTAGACACCGCAACTACTGACAAGACGATCACAACCAACACAAATGAAAATTCCAAAACAACAACTCTATACTTCAAACTACCATACATCGGACATTACTCACGACACACACAAAGCAGACTTACAAACATTATGAAACGCTTCTGTACAGATATTGACATTCGACTAATTTTCACATCATTCAAAATCAAAAACCTTTTCTCATTCAAAGACCCAATCCCTGATTCAATTAAATCTATGGTGGTGTATGAATTCAATTGCGCGGGATGTATTTCCCGATACATTGGCGAAACTTCGCGCCATTTATCCACCAGAATCAGGGAACATACCACAACAGACAAAAACTCTCATATCTACCGAAACCTTGTTAAATCTCACTCGTGTAAAACTAACTATTCACCCTCTTGCTTCAAAATCATCGACACTGCCGACACCTCATTCTCCCTTAAAATCAAAGAAGCACTCCACATTCTCCACATTAACATAACTAACCCTGACCTCAATGTTCAAGTTTTTAAATTCAATACAATATTTAGTTTATAATACGCTCGGACGCTCCCCATTAATTTATCTTATTTCCTTATTATTGTTGTAATTTATGTATCATATTACTTTTATACAAACCTTGTATTATTTATTATTTCACTTATACTGAAGATGGCATCATGAGATGTCAAAACATGTCTATTTTAAAAAACTCGTCTTGTATATTAAATGCGCATTAGCAATAGTGCTTCTATAAAATTATGAATACAAAATTTCTTAACTTTGTTTGGCTTTTGAATTTTTACACCCATTACTTCATGTCATTGTCTTGTTTCAATTCTCGCAGATAAATATTGTCAATGTTAACAGGGTCGTTATATTTTTGGTTATAAAGGACAGGGATGGTGTCATTGTAATTTACAAATAAACAACTGATGATGAAGTCATACTTGAACTTTGATAATGTCCCTTTTTTAATACAGCATGTTACTTAGGGAAGTGGTAACAGGATGATATGAGGATAGTAGAGGATGTCAGTTTAGTGATACAACCAGTGTGGGAATTAGTTCAGAAAAAACGATGTGCAATTTTTTTGACAAAAGTGTTTCTTTAGAGGCATAATCAAATCGATATTACGTTAATTACTACATAGCGCTAATTGCTAAATTAATATTTTTAAACGTGAACAAATTCATATGATTTACGACAGTGTTTTTCGTTACAACCGCTGATCCAGTTATGTATGAGAGAAATTTTTTTCGCATGTTATTCTCTCCTCTTTTTTGTGCAAACTTTACAGCGCAATAAATTCACCACTTGGCCATCATCCTAGTAATCAAGCGAGTCAGCATTTGATGTTTCCGTCCATTTTTTTCACTGTATTAACTTTGCTGGTAGCTACAACCTTTCGAAGAAGATGGCAAGAAAGACAAAAGTGAAAAGAGAATAACCGAATATACTTTTGCTTTCTGATTATCAACAGTAAGAGCACTGTACCGGCATGGTTAGAGCACTGTACCGGCATCGCAGAGGTCATGGTTTCGAATCCCGTTGAGTCACCTGAATTTTTCAGGTTCATGAGACAATTGCTTAAATTGTCCAGCAAAAGTGCGAAGATCATATCTTCATTCAGTAACATCCTTGATGTTTACTTACGATAAAAAACATCATATTTATCAGGGGCGGATCTAGGATTTTTCAAACATCAGTCATAAAACGTCGGAGGCGCTCCGCACCTGGGGGGGGTCTGAGGCATTCTTCCCTGAGAAATTTTGAATTTCAGAGCCTTGAAAATGCCATTTTCAGCGTTTTAGAGCAATACAAAATGTATTTTGTGGGCATCGTTTTTGTGTAAAAACAACACATTTTGCTTACGTTTTTTTCAAAAAAAAATAAAGTGAACAATACTTGAATGTTTTGCCAAATATTTAGGCTCATTATCATGCCAAATATATGGCTCATTAGCATGTCTAGGAACGTAAAATTTATTTTACAATAATGCTATATTCAAAAACAGATATAGTCTTTAAAAATTTCTACCAAGTTGTCAGGCATAGACCCCCCTAGAGACACCCATTCAAACCTCTATGTAATAAGTTAAGTTAGAAATTTGGTACTATAAGTGACAGTTTATAGATATAGAAAAGCTCAGACTTCAAACCATGCAAGTTTATTGTAACCCTTTACCCATCTCCACATCAGTGCCAGCAAGTTCACCCTTTGAGAAAAACTCAAAATTTTTTTCTGCCAAAGATTAAGCAAAAATTATCAAAGTGAAAATTTGCAGTTAAGGTTAGCTTAATACCATAAATGTTTATTAGGCATTTCACTAGACTATTATCTTCTGCAAAGTGTGCTATATAGCAATCACTAGTAGCATTGTATTATCAAATACAAACAGAATGTAACCAACATGTCTTTAATTATATAATTACATGAATGTTAAAATTGGTTCATGTGTCATGCTTACTGGTCATGATAAATATCTTTTCATATGATCAAAGCTTGTTTAAATGTAAATCTGAAATAATTTAGTTTAGAAATTATAATGATTATCAGAAAAATTACCTAGTGATCATGAAAAATACTTTGCTGTTTTGCCAAATTTCAAGGTTTATCTGCATACATAGGAAGACATTTTTGTTTATAGAAAATGCTTTTCATACATCAATAGCCCTTTGGAATTTATGGCAAACAATCTGGTATGAGCCGTAGATTAACACACCTTTACATCTCTACATGAGGTGTTCAGTTATAAAAGGGGACAATATGTAACATTTCATGTATGTGAAATACTCAGGTTTAATACCATTCCAGTCAAATTGTCAAAATAAAAAGCTTCATGGATCAGAAGACTCAAAATCACAGGTTATATTAAACAGCTTCTCATGTAATTAATGTTAGTTTTCTCAAATCTTAAACAATATGTAGTATAACTGTCCAATGATTGAATGATCAATGATCATAAACTGAAAAGCCCCAAAGATTTGTTTATGATAAAGTAAATAATAGTATGGCGCCTTATGGCTACAGATTTTTGTCCATTGAAATATATTTGCAGGAATGTAGGATTCCCCAAGCATTAAAGAAATCATAGCTAAAAGTCCACCGGGAACAACAATTTTAGAAGCATCAATCTGCTTACCATACGCCATATTAACATAAATCGCATCACACACTCGCATAAATTGACTTTGATATATTGCATTCATGAATACACTTCACTTGTCCTTTACTTACGATTTTGGATGTAAATTTCTGCTGATAAAACTCAAAACAATGTTGGCTTTCTTTTGAACATCAATGACTGAAATGTCGCTCGCGAGATCGTCTTTGCCAAGCATTTACAATTCATCCATAAATTTTTCACCCTCTTGAAAAAATTCCCAGTTTGGAAAGCAGCATTCATGTCAATATATGAATTTGTAAAAGATTTCCATAAATTCCATCTGATTGTAGTTTAGTTTCTATCATGCTTTAGAAAATTATTATGAAACGATCAAACATTCAATTCAGACAGTGAGCTTGACTATGTTAGTTCAGTTGGCAATCAGTCCAAATAGGTCAAACCAATCACAGTAAGACAAAAATTTAAACGAACCAATTACACGATAGCAAGTGGACTCCCTTATAGGTCCGGCCACCTCGCTTATCGGTCGAAATTATTCCAGATCGTCCACTGATCTGGCCATTGACCAATGAAATAAGCGTTTTTGGCGTTCATAGACTCCTTTATCCGTCGAACCAGTCAAGCCACCCCGCTTATCAGTCGGTTATTCCAGGTCAATTAAAATTCAACTGATCTGGTTACCAAGGAGATATTCATTGGATTAGTCATTAGATTTCAATAAAAAAAGCTGGATTTTTATCACGAAGTAAATGCGATAATAAAGTAAGAATAATTAATGAATTTTTAATTAAAATGAATAGGTAATTTTTGAATTTCAAACATCAGTCGCGCGACGGATTTGACATACTCTAGATCCGCCCCTGATATTTATGTCATATTACAAACAATATGTAAAAGCAAAAAGTATGGCTGATCAAGGTTGCCAGTTTGGCTTAATGTTTTGAGCCACTAATGTTTTCCTCACGTTAGGCTTATTTAAAATCAAAATTCCCTTTGGTTTATTTTTCAAATTTTGCTTGTTTAAGTTGTTTTTTTGTCTTCTTTCAAGAATCAAAATCAAAATGTTTCCTGATTTTACTGAATATACTTAAAATAGCTATGATGCCAAAAACAGTACGTAACGGTTTACAAAACAAAGCAAATGCAAAAATTGACATTAATAATGTATTTACACCCCTATTGTCATAAGCATATAAGCACCATGTATGTTGACTGTTGACAGACTTCCTAGTCTCAAAGTGACAACGTCTTTGAACTTGATGACATTGTGTAAAAATGGATTTTAATGTCGTGCAGCGCACTCGTTTATAAAGTAAAGATCAGTAAAGATTAAGCTTGAAAACTTTGTTCAATTTATGTGGTAGTAATCAATAATGAAGTTTTTTGCATATCGTTTGAAAAAGTGATGTGTAATTGTTTTCATTTTAGCTAAAACGATGTGCAAATTGCACATTGCACACCGTTAATTCGCACACTGGTGATATCATTGGTTTTAAATAAGCCTAACAAGAGAAAAAGAAGCCAAACTTAAAACATTAAGCCAAACTGGCAACCTTGATTAGCCATACTTTTTGCTTTTACATATTGTTTGTAATATGACATAAATATGATGTTTTTTCTGTAAATAAACATCAAGGATGTTACTGTTAATAATCAGAAAGCAAAAGTATATTTGGTGTTTCTCTTTTCACTTTTGTCTTTCTTGCCATTTTCGACGAAATGTTGTAGCTACCAGCAAAGTTAATACAGTAAAAAAATGGATGGAAACATCAAATGCTGAGTTTGAGTGCTAGGATGATGGCCAAGTGGTGAATTTATTGCGCTGTAAAGTTTGCACAAAAAAGAGGAGAGAATAACATGCGCAAAAAAATTCTCTCGTACATTTGTAACTGGATCAGCGGTAGTAAAGAAAAACACTGTCGTAAATCATATGAATTTGTTCATGCTCAAAAATATTAATTTAGCAAATAGCGCTACATATAGTAATGAACGTAATATCGATTTGATTATGCCTCTAAACAAACACTTTTGTCAAAAAAATTGCACATCGTTTTCTCTCAACTAATTCGCACACTGGTTATCACAATGCATAATTAGCTTTAGGAAAAACTAATTTTTGTGGACAGTTAACATAAATTATTGCCAATGTCACAGGGTCCTAATATTATTGATTTCAATGCATTGTGATGGTGTAATTGTTATTTTCAAATAAACAACTAATGATTGAATATGTCTGTCTTAATACAGCATGGGGTACTTAGGGAAATGGTAACAGGATGATATAAGGACAGTAGAGGCACCAGGGGAATGTCATTTTAGTGATACAATATACATTTCATAGAAATATAAACCAAACACTTACAGCTTGTTGTAAAACAAATGTTCCTTTCTTGTTCATAATGACTTTTTAATGGTTTTGATTGATGTTTCCAAAGCTTTTAAACCTTCTTCTAGATTCATTGTTGTTGTCGTGACAACATAGGTAGGTGGTGAAATGGGATTTATCTTAAAGAAGAAAACAGTTTACAATCAAACAATGAAATTTTCAAAAGATTTTTTATCATTGTATGTTATTTAGGCCTGGCACAGCTATTGTAAGATATAATTACATTGCTGTGCACATTTGGGACATTTATAAATAATTAAATCTTGTTTTCGTGAACATCAAAATGTTCATCCTCATTGTGTTTATGTAGCAATATTGCAATTTGATGCATTTCAATGAGAATGATCTGTCATATACAGTGGTGTAAAACAAAGCTTCATGTTATTCTTGGTTCTTAAGGTTCGTTTTCCTTGACAACTCATTTATTGACAGTTGTCTTGTTGTACACAATGTTCAGTAGTATATATAATAATCATTCTACAATTGAAATCTTGACATAAACATATTTAAAAGTTAAAATGACATGATATGAGGTATAGCTCTATTGGTTAAGAACAGCTCATGTACGACGACAGACGATGTTAATGTTGATTCATAATGGTTTCAAAAAAGCTTGGCTGACTGATAATTATGCTAATAAACACATAACCCAGGCTGTCACATGTTACAGTCGTAAACAAAATCTCAGCAAACTTTTGCCATAAATATAAAGCAGTTTTAAAATTCAAAAGGAGTAAAGATCTTTTTATAAAGTCTAACAATGATCAATGATTACAGTACAATAGAACTTACCTAAATGAAGTCATAATATTAAACGTCGCTCGATTTTGAAATAGAAATACAAACAATTCTTTATGTTGATGATTGCACAAAATATGTACAAAGATATAACGCAGATTGTTCAATCAGTTGCATTTTTCATTGAAAACTTTTCAAGAACCTCAAACGGTAATACTTTAAATACAGACGAACAAGTTTACAGTTTGATTTTACATGACTGATTGTTACCGATTGTCGGAAACATCCGGTGGAAACTATCGGTATTCGCCGATTATTATTCGATGTCTGTCGTGAAAATGGTTTGTGACGTTTTAGTGACGAAGAAGGTTCATACGTTTGGAAGGGTCAGACCTGGAATATGACAACCGGTTATGATACCAATTTATAAATTTGGTGTCACAAATAGAAAATACGACATCGAAAAGAACATTTGTTCTAATTAGTAAATATTTCAATTATTATTATGTTCACGGCGCACTTGTACAAATTATAGATATTTATAGTTCATCAGGAATTGAAGAAAGATTTAAATCATACAATTCAATAAGAAGTTCCAAATATAAAAGTACGAGTAAAATATTAAATATTCAGTCTGACTTTCTGCTCCAGATTCCATTCCTTGATCCTCTGCAACGCTCTCTGCAACGTTTTGTGGACGGAATTATTTTCGTCTTGATGTACTTTCTTCAAGCTCTAGAGATTTTCCTCTCGTCCGTGTTTGATTCAAGTAAACTCTGGATTTTTTCCACCGTTTTTTGCCCTTTTCCTTACTTTGTATAAAATCGAATGTAAATACAGTTGACCAACTTTAACAACTTAAATCATTCATTCTGCCACAGCTACATGACACACCAGTGAAATGCAACAACCAGAGGGAACCGATATCCATTAATATCTTTCTGATGTGCCTCATGACGCTGTGTGTTTAATATACATGAACATGAATTTCATTCTTTAATCATGCATAACGGATGCAACAATCACTATTGTCGTGTGCATCATCTGCGAGGGGAAGTCCCCATACCATCATGCAACAGTAATGTGCACGGAAGATTCGGGAAACAATCCCTTTGTTTATACCCATCATGCACCCATTCATTTGTGTCGTTTCCGCTTTTATCTTTACTTTGCATAAAATAAAAATATATAAACAATTGACCAACTTCTACCACCTTACATCGTTTATTGTTGACATAAAAAAGCTTTTTCGGTGTCATTCCTCAGCCAGTGGCCAGTGTGTTGCCACTAGCCATTTACAATCCCACCTAAAGATATAGAGGTCATGACATTTTGAGCCTTCTAAACAATCACTAGCTCTATAATACATAGTAAGTATTTCAAATTGAAAATCAAGTCTATTTAATTGTTGCGAAAGACACACAAGATAATCCGTCAATGGCTGGAGAGAATTTTCTTTTTTTATCAGAAGTTGACAAATCAATGAGCAAAACAAAAAGGAAGGGAATTAAACAATGAAACGCAAAAATGTCTTGAAACAATTATTCAACAGCTGTGAAGCAACCAATTGAGACGTTTGCACAAAAGCAAGGAAACACATCGAAGAAAAGTTCAGCGAAACCAAAATGAATTGGTTCACACCAAAAATGGCGCGACGAGTTACAAGCGAACGACAAATCCTGTGCAAATTGTCCATAATATACAGAATAGTTCTTAGTTAAACAGTGTCGTTTTTTGTTACTGTGTGTTATGTGAATGTAGGACAGTGTATCATAAGATCTGTGGACAGAGCGTATTAAGGGAAGAAACAATATAATTGTTTTAGAGGAAAATTACAGAAAACACTGTCACAAAAAAATTCTTCAGTGTAGCCTGCCCTGGGTAAGCAAAAGTCCTACTTGACTAAATTGACTATGCAGTTTTCTTCTGTCGTGTGTAATGTCCGTTTCGTGTCGTGTTTGTGAAGAAATTATAAATATTGAACTTCGCTTTAGAAATTAGAATACACAAGTCATGAGCCACCAGCTCAATAAAACGTGTTTTCCAGAGAATATAATAACGAGATAATCATTGTCTCCAAGCAGTACGTTCTTACAAGTTAGTGTGCTATAAATATGGTTGATATTCACAGACATGGAAAATGAACTTCGTCGCTAAAATATAACATAGTAAAATTTTCTATAGGCAAAAATATCTCATAAGACATTTTACGTACTTTCAAGATCAGATACATAGCATTCAGCAACCTTTTCTTTACTTAACACTTCACAGTTAAATTTCGCAGTGAGCAGTGGACAAGAGCCTAAAATGCGAAATATTATGGCACGGAAGATTAAAATCATGGTTTACAATCAAACGGCCAGTTTTACGTCTTGCGGTCAATGTTATAAAAATTGGCCGTCATAATTAACTTGTTTAGAGATCAACTGTTTAGGAATGAAACAATCTAATGACAGCAATAATCACTTAACAATGATCTCGTTATTAAAAGGTCAAAAGCCGTGAAATAAAACGATTTGAAATGGATAAGTTATTCTGAAACATAGCCTTTAGAACAATGACTTTGAAATGCAAAAATTTCAATAAACCTTGCACTCACTGTCTCAAAGAGATGTGAAATTAAGTATGTGATGAGTAGAGTGTGGAAGGTTTATTGCAATTTTTATATCTCAAGATCACTGTTGTAAAGGCTGTGTTTCAGATTAACTTATCCATTTAAGATCTCGGAGCGATTATTGAATACCCGTTCATTTTTAAAGGCACCCTTACAGGCTAAAGTTAAACTAAAATATCGTTTAGTTCTCAATTATTATTTATCAAGTATCATTTAGTGTCATTTAATGGTCAAAATAAAGAACAAAGTATAAAGAACAAGGCATATTATATAAGTAGATGGTGAGTGGACGGGTATTCTATAACATAGCATTACGATCTTGTGGTGTTTATCACTAAACTAAAATATCGTTTAGTTCTCAATTATTATTTATCAAGTATCATTAAGTGTCATTTAATGGTCAAAATAAAGAACAAAGTATAAAGAACAAGGCATATTATATAAGTAGATAGTGAGTGGACGGGTATTCTATAACATAGCATTACGATCTTGTGGTGTTTATCACTAAACTAAAATATCGTTTAGTTCTCAATTATTATTTATCAAGTATCATTAAGTGTCATTTAATGGTCAAAATAAAGAACAAAGTATAAAGAACAAGGCATATTATATAAGTAGATAGTGAGTGGACGGGTATTCTATAACATAGCATTACGATCTTGTGGTGTTTATCACTAAACTAAAATATCGTTTAGTTCTCAATTATTATTTATCAAGTATCATTAAGTGTCATTTAATGGTCAAAATAAAGAACAAAGTATAAAGAACAAGGCATATTATATAAGTAGATAGTGAGTGGACGGGTATTCTATAACATAGCATTACGATCTTGTGGTGTTTATCACTAAACTAAAATATCGTTTAGTTCTCAATTATTATTTATCAAGTATCATTAAGTGTCATTTAATGGTCAAAATAAAGAACAAAGTATAAAGAACAAGGCATATTATATAAGTAGATAGTGAGTGGACGGGTATTCTATAACATAGCATTACGATCTTGTGGTGTTTATCACTAAACTAAAATATCGTTTAGTTCTCAATTATTATTTATCAAGTATCATTAAGTGTCATTTAATGGTCAAAATAAAGAACAAAGTATAAAGAACAAGGCATATTATATAAGTAGATAGTGAGTGGACGGGTATTCTATAACATAGCATTACGATCTTGTGGTGTTTATCACTAAACTAAAATATCGTTTAGTTCTCAATTATTATTTATCAAGTATCATTAAGTGTCATTTAATGGTCAAAATAAAGAACAAAGTATAAAGAACAAGGCATATTATATAAGTAGATGGTGAGTGGACGGGTATTCTATAACATAGCATTACGATCTTGTGGTGTTTATCACTAAACTAAAATATCGTTTAGTTCTCAATTATTATTTATCAAGTATCATTAAGTGTCATTTAATGGTCAAAATAAAGAACAAAGTATAAAGAACAAGGCATATTATATAAGTAGATAGTGAGTGGACGGGTATTCTATAACATAGCATTACGATCTTGTGGTGTTTATCACTAAACTAAAATATCGTTTAGTTCTCAATTATTATTTATCAAGTATCATTAAGTGTCATTTAATGGTCAAAATAAAGAACAAAGTATAAAGAACAAGGCATATTATATAAGTAGATAGTGAGTGGACGGGTATTCTATAACATAGCATTACGATCTTGTGGTGTTTATCACTAAACTAAAATATCGTTTAGTTCTCAATTATTATTTATCAAGTATCATTAAGTGTCATTTAATGGTCAAAATAAAGAACAAAGTATAAAGAACAAGGCATATTATATAAGTAGATAGTGAGTGGACGGGTATTCTATAACATAGCATTACGATCTTGTGGTGTTTATCACTAAACTAAAATATCGTTTAGTTCTCAATTATTATTTATCAAGTATCATTAAGTGTCATTTAATGGTCAAAATAAAGAACAAAGTATAAAGAACAAGGCATATTATATAAGTAGATAGTGAGTGGACGGGTATTCTATAACATAGCATTACGATCTTGTGGTGTTTATCACTAAACTAAAATATCGTTTAGTTCTCAATTATTATTTATCAAGTATCATTAAGTGTCATTTAATGGTCAAAATAAAGAACAAAGTATAAAGAACAAGGCATATTATATAAGTAGATAGTGAGTGGACGGGTATTCTATAACATAGCATTACGATCTTGTGGTGTTTATCACTAAACTAAAATATCGTTTAGTTCTCAATTATTATTTATCAAGTATCATTAAGTGTCATTTAATGGTCAAAATAAAGAACAAAGTATAAAGAACAAGGCATATTATATAAGTAGATAGTGAGTGGACGGGTATTCTATAACATAGCATTACGATCTTGTGGTGTTTATCACTAAACTAAAATATCGTTTAGTTCTCAATTATTATTTATCAAGTATCATTAAGTGTCATTTAATGGTCAAAATAAAGAACAAAGTATAAAGAACAAGGCATATTATATAAGTAGATAGTGAGTGGACGGGTATTCTATAACATAGCATTACGATCTTGTGGTGTTTATCACTAAACTAAAATATCGTTTAGTTCTCAATTATTATTTATCAAGTATCATTAAGTGTCATTTAATGGTCAAAATAAAGAACAAAGTATAAAGAACAAGGCATATTATATAAGTAGATAGTGAGTGGACGGGTATTCTATAACATAGCATTACGATCTTGTGGTGTTTATCACTAAACTAAAATATCGTTTAGTTCTCAATTATTATTTATCCAGTATCATTTAGTGTCATTTAATGGTCAAAATAAAGAACAAAGTATAAAGAACAAGGCATATTATATAAGTAGATAGTGAGTGGACGGGTATTCTATAACATAGCATTACGATCTTGTGGTGTTTATCTCTAAACTAAAATATCGTTTAGTTCTCAATTATTATTTATCAAGTATCATTAAGTGTCATTTAATGGTCAAAATAAAGAACAAAGTATAAAGAACAAGGCATATTATATACGTAGATAGTGAGTGGACGGGTATTCTTTAATCCAGCATTACGATCTTGTGGTGTTGATTACTTTGGTAGTTGTGGTTCGTATGGCATAGTAAAAAGTGTCAAATATGAATATAATAATGTATAAAAAGTCATAGCCACCTTTAGGACTTAAGGCAAGTTTGTCACAAATAGAAGATTAAGAATCAAGTGAATATTGCGATAACGCGACTTCCGTATGCGCTCGAAAATCTCGTACACTTGCACAGTTTTGCGAACGTAGCATTTACGTTATAATAAATAAAGTTGCCTTCAAAAAAAATAAAAAACATTGTCGTTAACTGATAGAAATAAAGGTTATACGTATTTGAAAATTTTCGCAGTAAAAGCAAAAGCAAGGCGCAAACTCAGTAAATTTATGAATATTTTGCACAAACCTTGTAAGATCAAGCACAGAATGTATTGGTTCAACTTTTTCTTCGTTCGGTACTGGTTCTTTCACGTTAACATTTCCAGGTTAAATGCAAGTAAACAAATTACTCCCCAAACGTTGTAATCATAAGATAATACAGCAATGTTCTTCTTCCCAATTTCCCGCTCTGTTTTGACTCCAATTCAGCGACTGCCAAAAGCAAGCTGGATACAATCAAAGGAAGAACCAAAAGTCTGAAAGCTCTCACCCAAATCTCACGAAGAAACGAAACGTACATTCCATATTTCTTCGGTGTTGGATCTATGGACGACTGAACATTTCCATGTAATAAAGCACCAAGTAAAAATCCAGAAAGTACGCCGAATAAAATGAAAAATAATATCATATGTTGTTTTGTATGTTTTAATCCATTGTAGCAACGCTTTCTTGAAGTCATTGTCGAAATCTTGTAGCCCTGAATACAATTCAAAGCAACAAATAAACACTGAATCTCAACTTCACAATTCGCAATAACAAAGACTATAAATATACCGCGCCATTGACTATATATAAATATTCAATACATATTAGAGACTTAGGTCACGTGTTTTTATTCCCAGATTTTAACAGCCAAGGGGGAAATCCCTTTTAAACGCTTTGAAATAAGTGGAGAGAAGGCTAAACTAATTCACAAAACAAAAGCTATTCGTTGTCATCACAATAGTTGGAAACTTGTGATAGGAAAAAATAAAATAGAAATCACTATAGCTCTTACAAACAGTATTTCAAAACATTCTGTTTTTTATCGAATCTATAACTGGCAGTAAATACTAAAAGATTTGTAAACTTGGCAATGGAAAAATACATAATTGGTAGTGAGGATGGTTTGCTAAAATTAAAAAATTTCACTCAGTCGATTTCATCGTGAAGACAATGTCTTACGACTCAAACTAGCATCATAAATAATTTCTTTGGAAACAATTATATGGAACACATTTAATATAAACGACAACTTTTTTGAAAAT